GGGGGGGGGGGGGGTTAATGTATAAACACTAAACTTATACACAGCAATGGGAAAGTTGTTCTTGTTTGTTTTTAATTGTTTCTTTGGGGGGTGGGGGGGCAAGAAAAAGAGATGGACGTGGACACAATAACAGCCATTCAGCGTCAGGAAAAAGAAAGACTGACAAACATAAAGAAGTAAGACATACCAGTTGCCCCATTCTACCCAACCACCTGAGTTGACAGCTGAGCATCAAACCATAATCAGTTTAGAGCAAATTTTGGGTTCTACACATGTGATGAGGAAGACTTAGACAATTGTGTTTAAGACACAAGTCCATAGGAACGCCCATCAACAATTCAACATTCAAGGTGAAACCAGAGAAGAAGATTACACACATTAGAGAGAAAGAAGGGTAAGAAAGACACTAATGATCATTTTCAACTGGCCAAAAGAATTTTTGTATATTTTCAAAGGAGGATCATGTTGCCAAGGTCAACTTAAATCTATGTGTGATAATCCAAACATTCAATAAACAACCTCTAATGTGGTGTCATCATCTGAGTCAAAAACAAAACAAAACTGAAAAGTGATTGAGTGCACATACTAAAAAAAAAAATAGAATGAAGAAGAAAGGTTAGCAAAGAGTGAGGGAGGGGTTGTCTTTGGGACTGTGTACCAGAGCCGTGGGAGTCAGTAAACAGTTGGTGTGAGGTCGGATGCGGCTGGCGTAGCGTCTCTCCACAGACACAACGTGAGCTGACTCAGTCAAGGGCAACAATGCTACTAGACCCGGCTACTACATGTTAGAGACACAAGATATAAATCATCTTTCCACCACACATACATACATACACACACACGCACGCTCACACAGACATCACTTTAGTTCCTCATAACAAGGGTTTTTGTATTGTACAAAACTATCTACAACAAGGCTTTGAAAGTAGGGACATTTTATTTCAAAGAAAGGGGGTGAAAAAGAGTAAGACACCAGAAACCATCTACTCAAATAAGCTGTGAAAATTTTCCTCTAAATCTCTTCAGAGGAAAAGACTGTAAAAAACAACAACAAAACAAATCCCATCTCCACATAAACACATACGTTATTCATGTACATCTGTAAGCAATGGTATCATCACATGAAACAGCATCCAGAGTGAGTCTACAAAAACCTACTGGCATCATTTTGTTTGAAAGAAACGAGATGACAGTTGGGAGGGAACCCACAGCGGGGAGAAAAAAATAATATGTATGTGATCAAAGTTCAATATATGTCTCAAACAACATTTCCTTTCAGTAACTTTTCTCTTAGCATGAAGAAACTGTCTTAGCTCTATTGTGGCTGAAAGGTAAATGCAAAATTGTCTCCTGTATAGGTTTCCTGAGAACAAATTCACAGCTGCTTCATTCTTATTATTCTTTGGTACTTCTAAACCCAAAGTTTTTCTCTTCTCAACTTCCTTGCAATGTTTCCTCTTCCTCAAGTTTCTCTATGCATGAATGTAATACATCCACTTCCCTCTACTTGCAATGTTATGGGCACTACATTGAAAGAGCAATTTACCAAGCAAACATGAAGGTTGAAATAGAAAACCCTCTCTCAAGGAAGAGGGAAGAAAATTCACATCCATCCCTACAAAATAACATGAAAACGTTTTCATTGGACATCAATTCAAATTCAACACTAAAAAAAAACCCCCAAACTTTTTTAAAACTTTGTAAATCAGAGCAAAAGCCATAGTTGCAATGCAGGGGGTTCATATTCCAACAACATAAACACAATATCAGTCATATGGTAACAAATCAGTTCACATGCAATGTACTGCTGCAGAAAACAGAAACGATGAAACATTCATACGCCTACATTTCATGATTCAAGGCTGTCTGCATTTTTCCAGTGACTTGTGCTGCGAATTCTCATATTTCTCCGTCTTTGAAGATTCAAACTTTCATCACATATCCGACCGCAACCTTTGCAGATTTGAGTTGACCAGGATCAAACACAGTCCTTGTAATCATCACATCAAGCTCACTACACTTTTGCTTGTTTCACTTATAACATTTCAGAGAAAAAGAGAAAAGAAAAAGATAATTCTAGAAACATTTCCTGCTTATAAATTGGTGTTTCAGCTCAAATCTCACCCTCCGAAGAAAAAAGTGGTAGTTGCAAAGTCAGCAACACCGGATGGTACGGCCGACTCCACTCTGTATTCCATGGCACACGCAAGTGCACACAAACACGCTCACGCGCACACGTACACACGGGGGACAACGGTACTCACGTTTTTCTTGGTCTTCATGGCACATTCCTCTAGGGTTTCTGCAGCCTCGTACTTGCCCTGGCGTCTGTACACGGCTCCCAGGTTTTTCAGTGTTGTGGTTACAGTGGGGCTGGAAGTGGACAGAGATTATGGTTAGTCTTTTCTGAGACTCGCTACACATCTAAACTTACATATGGTACGCTTAGTATCTCCAAATAATGTGACTCGGATCATACAGACTAGGCCAGGGCAAGATTGACTCTGGGATTTATTCTTTCGAGTCCAAATGAGGACTCAAAGAATCGATCTTGTTCACAAACTCTAAGCTTCGTGTCCGCCCAAGGTCGATGCCTCCCGTCTCCTTTTTTTTTTGCCTGGTTCCTAGCCTAGACTCCGAGAATCGAGGCAAGAATCTAAATCTCTACAGCACTATTACAGTCCTGTCGTGGGATAGGCCTAGGGCTGTTCCACCCCACAGTCGAGTATTTCGCTTCAAAATGGACACCGCAACAGGACAGGACTGGTCCGGCGAATAAGGCGGCTTCTTTGATGTTGGCCTAGGCGGAGTTAAAAATGCCTTCCAAAAATTTCTTAAATACTGGCCAAATTTAAGACATAATAAGATTTTCGTGATCAGAGACCCAAAATTAGCAAAAATTACGCGTGGAACCCATTTTAACGCCCCATTACCAAGTTAAATTAAATTTTGTGAGTTTTGTTTACTTATGTTTTTTTTTCACTATTTGAATTTGGCGTGCACTAGGCCTTGATACATGTAGATTCAAGACTGTCTTCAAGGTGGATGAATCGAGGTTGCATGTGCCTGTGCTCTGTTGCTTCGTATTAGAAAAAAGAGAAAGAGAAAACAGTATTAGGTCTACTGTCCCACCGATGTTGTAGCAATTCACAACTGCTCGGGACTCAATGCAACAAAAATGTCACGTCCCAATAATAGGTGCGGTACATTAAACTCCAGTTCAAAGGTTTCAAACGTCAGACGGGTCTGTCCCAGGACGAACTTTCGTAGGCCAAGTGAGGTAGGGGCAAGAAACTGCCAGTCAGTCACTATCAATTGTCTCACGCAACCCCCCACCCCACCCCACCTTCCTCTTCCCCGCTATGAGTGAATGCTAAACTAGGCCTAGGCCTACTTGTCGTGTCTACCGTGTAGTCCAGTACGAAACCACGCTGCACATAGGCTACTGCTACTTTGAATGTTGTTGCCCCACCCCCGCTCATCTTCACTGTACACGTATTCTTTTGTAAATCATATTGTGTGTTTTGAGTTGACATCAATGAGTCATCATGTCTGGACGTCGATCTTTAGCTTGGGACTTTTTTAATAGCACGAAAACACAGTACTGTTGTTTGTATGATTTGTAATAATGTTTTGACATACAATAACACAACGTCGACAATAACAAAACATTTGTCATCAAAGCATGCTTTGACATATCAGGAAGCAAAGGGTGCAAGAGAGAAGGAGCCTATGCCCCACGCATTGGCAAGAGTGATAGAAGGGAGGCAACACACACACACATACACACCCACACCCAAACACACACACGCAAACACAACTTGTCTTGGCACGCGCGCAGGCTTAGCCAGCCACGTCTGTCAAACTCGAGACTCGAGGTCTCGATCTTAAGAGCTATTTTAAGCAGAGTTCGAGACTCGAGGTCTCGATCTTAAGAGCTATTTATAGCAGTGTTCAAGTCATGGCCTCTAAACAGCCCACTTGAAGCAGCTTCCAAACTAGAAAATCGGACTCCATTCCTTGATTCTTTTTCAGTTTTGGAATCGAGGCCTCGAGTCTTTTTGCCATCGATCTTGCCCTGGCCTAATACAGACCACTGCCATCCACTTAATTCTATTTGACAAACAATGCATCAGCCTGAAAACATTTTCATTTCAACAAAAATAGACCAAGACAATGGCAACATTAAAAGAAAAATGAAGCAACAGACTGCACCATAGCACCTTCCAAAGGGAGCTATACCCCAATGCAGTTTTTTTTTTAAAAAGCAATTGTCTTCATGAAATTTGAAAGTTCTGAAAGCAACTCAATCAACACCTTTACCCCAAATTTATCGTCCAATACAGTAAATACCATTATCTAACACTTCACAATGCTATGGGCAGATTTATGGTCATAAAAAATCAAAGCAAGTTATGCTCCCCTCTTCAGAGACACCCAGCTTATTTGTATTACTGGGAAAAGTTTATTGTGCCCAAAGGCTCCAAAAGGAAAGAAACAAAGGAAAGAAATGAAGACCACAATGGAAAAATGATCAAAGTCACAACCATGACATTATTGAGGTATTGGTATTGCCTTCAAAATGTACAACACTTCCCAAGTTTACTCTCACAAACTGTCAAATGCAACAACAGGCTCAGCTCCGAGTTAGAGTCACTTTTTAAAATATGATACAACAGACCAAAAAATTATCATAAGTAGGAGACTTGACTTTTAAAAAATCTGGACTTTTTATCAATTTGGTAAGGAGGCTTTGATTGACTTTCCATTGTGACCTTCATAAATGTTCATGTATTTCAGGCCAGGCTGGGAAGAGACAAGGGACCATCTGTCCTCCCTGCTCACCTATCTACTTTGGCATTTTTGTGCCAGACTCCGTACTCCGGCAGAGGAGGGCCGTCTTCCTTGCCGTTACCCTGTCAAGGATAAACAAACCAAGGAACTCTTTAAGTCTTTTTCTCACACAACTTGACACAAAAAGATTTGTTTATCTTTTGAGTTTGAGTAAAGAGAAACACATCGACACCATGACATCCATTGAGTGCAGGGAAAAGGATAGACAGACAGACAGAAATGACAGAAGGAAAGAAAGGAAGTACATCCTACTACTGGTGTCCTTTAATCACTTGCTTTTTGATAAATTTCCAGCACTTATAAAGCAAAAATGCACCCCAAAAAATTAACTTTTTTTTTAGTTAGTAAGAGTTTAACGGCACTTGCAACACAAGGTCATATAAGTGCCGAAGATTAGAGGTGTTACAAGAGGAGTAACAAACACAAAATAGTAGGAGGGGAGATAAGGACGACAGATGTTTGATAGGAAAGAAGGAGCAAGCCACACCAGAGCACCCGCCAACCACCCACAAAAAAAAAAAATAATTTTAAAAAATTTTGTTTTTATATTCTGACCCCCAGGGTGATCTCTGAACCAAGCAGAAAATTAAAAAGAAACAAAACACCAATCACCGGGGTAAGCAAAAACAGTAACAACATTTTTGTTAATATAAATAATCAATCAGTCTGCATTGCTGAATTAATTCAATAGATATTTAGAAGGAGGCAGAGAAACTGTGAATACAGGGGTTGAGGCCCAAAGAGAAATGATCTCATTAAATGACTCAATCAAAACGAAGGTTTAAACTAAAACTAAAAATAGTTAAAACTAACAAGAAAACCTGGGAGATAACATCTTTAAAGGCATGCATAATTAGACATCATTCTATTCTAAAAAATTATCATATCTCATAAAACAGACAAAATAAACATCTTGACAGAATAAGTAACCTCCTACCACCTGGCTCAGTACCAGGTCAGTGACACCCCCCCCCCCTCCTTACCTTGTTCTCTTCTCTCTCCTCCGCCCACACCCATATAGGCTTGTTTTCACCTGAACAAAAAAGAGCACACATATTGTTCAATTGCTTTTCTATAAGACTGTAATACATACAGTAAGCAAAGCAACAAACAACACAATATTCCATGGAAACAAGGTCAACAAAGGTTTCCTAAACATTAATAAATACCTTTGATCTAGATTTCTTAAATCAGATTTACAAACACACATTAGCTGACAAGCTAAAACTCTTTAAATATCCGAAGGGTTATAATCTCAGCAATTTTAGACAGGAATCTACTGCAGATTACAAAGCACATAGAGCTTGCTTTTGAGTTGGAATTAAAGCTATACCAGCGCTCTTTATTATTATTAGGATAACATTTTCAAATGAATAGAGTTAAGTTGGGAACATCCCCCCCCCCCCAAAAAAAAATTAAAAAAATAAAAAATTACTCATCAAATTTAGGAAACTTACTCCTGAAATCTCAAGAAAAAGTTACACGAGATAAAATACAGTAAAGCGGCAGACGTAATTTTTTCAATTATCCATACTTCAGCTTTTTACCTTCAACTTTTCCAAATTCCTTTTCATGTGCTCTTGTCAATATTTCTTTATATAATGCCTCTGCTTGCTTGTACTTTCCTTGTTTCATATATGCTGATGCCTGTGGGGATGGGTGGACACAAAACAAGACTGATCAGAACATCTAGTTTAAGAGCAGCAGTTAGTGAAAGGCATGTATCACACCTACAGAAGTATCCACAAAGATAGTACCTTTACAAGGAATGATCCATCTTCTAACTTTAAATCTTTGATACATAGGTAATCTTAAGGAATGTAAAAGCAAAATAAAAAAGCCAGCTTTTACAATTTCCTTTTCATTCTCCCCTCCCCTCTTAACAAAAAATGCTAAAATATTCTACAAATTAAAATGTAACTAGAACAAAATGGAAGACTTTCACCGAGGTTAATAACCCAATAATACTGCTCAACTGCGTTTAACAATACATTTGCTATTATCAACAGAACAGTAAACTAGAAATATAAGGAGAATACATCAGAGCTGCTCATGGTAAAACACATGGGATTTACCACTATGCTACAGAATATCTATATCACAGGGGAATTTACTTAATCATGCAGGCATTTCAAGCCAGTATGCTTTGCCACATTTACACTGCATTAGTAGGATCACCAGGCAGGCACGGCCTTGGAACACACTTATATCCCTGCATTGGAGGAGCTCTGAGACCAGGAAGTCTCAGTGTTGAAATTTACATCATATTTTGTTTCAGTGTAACTAATTACTATGGGAGATTATAAATTCCTTTTCTTCCTCTCAATGTATAATGTGAACAAAGAGCCCATGCTTTAAATTCACACACAGCATTTCTGATGTTAACGTGAAGGAAGCCTCTTGATATTACCTGTCTAGAGAAAACTTGTACTTAAGTCAACAGAAGTGTAATAAGGTACAAGTTTGTAAAATAAATATATCACACATTACTGGGAAAAAAAAGGGTTGAAAGAATTGTACTATGCAGTGTCAAGAACACTATCCGCGTCAAGAATAACTTTACAGATAATATTGTTTTAATGGACGTCAAAGATTTGGAAGGGGGTGAGGATTTATCTTTTCTACAATGATTTTGCCGTATGATTAAAGTTCAGAATTTACAGAAATAAACCTGTTGACATCTCTCAATACTAACACATAGCAAAGACACAAAGCAAAAAAAAACACCCATTACAATTGAAATGTTATAATAACAACACCTCTTGGTACATTAATGTAAGACTGTGCAGTACAATGCAGACTAGATTATTTTACAAACATGCTCGAAAAGCTCAACCACTTGATGAATTAAAGATCTCTTCCAACAAATCATTAAGAAAAAAATAGCTATTTTGTATCTGCAGCAGCACACAGAGCTATTATACAGTAATAAACACTATCATGAAGATGGCCAAAAACTGACAGAATCCATCCCTCCCTCCCACACCCAAGGAAGGTAACAAACTTTGATAATGATACACTTTGCAAACAAAGTCACCTTACCAAATTATTCAGTGTTTTCACAACATTTGTGTCATCCGGTCCCAACTTTTTCTTGTATATTTCTAAAGCTCTCAGGTAATATTTTTCCACCTGGAACAAGGAAGTACCAGTGACAACATTGCTACAGTGAAAGAGAAATACTCAATAAATGTACACAAAGTTACCTGCAAATAAGAAGCGGAACATTCTCCATTCAAAACAAAACAATGGAAAGCAGAAAAGAAAAACCAAACAAAAATCACACAGTGGCATACAAACACACACACACACACAGAATGTGTCCTTGGACTGTGACGAGCATTCCTTGCACAGAACCAAGTGAGCCCACAGAGACCACTCAAAGCAAAAGGGGAACAAAAAAAACTTGGATTATTAAATAGTTTGAACTTAGAATGAAAAATAACGAAAAAAATCAAAAAAAATCAGCTACATAAAAAACAAACTCTCAGATATGAGCCCCACAGACAGTGATGGTGAAACATATCTGAAACTTCTGGATTACGACTCTTTGTTTCCCTTTGAGCAAGGCTCACTTTCAAGTTTCTTTAGCTTTGAGTGGTGGTCATTACACAGTGGCAAAAAACAACTGTGAAAGGCGTAATTTTGTACAGATAACTGAGGTGCCATATGTCAGATTTTTACATAACAAGAACATATTATCATTATGTCACTTTTGAAATAATGATTCTGATAGAAATCCCTTTTGTATGCTTACTCATCTTACCTGCTGACATGTCAAACAATGAGGAGAAGGTTGACATAATTAAATTGCATTGTAACTAGAATTGTTGCAGCCCACGTTCAATATATCTCGATCATGACTGATTTTTACATCCATAACACTAGTCTCTCAGAGAATGTTTTGAAAATGAAAAAAGGCGCTGAAAAATGTGTAATGAACTTCATTCTAGAATAGACTTTCTTCACAGATTTTTAATGAGACGATTGTTTAAAAAATCTACATACGGTTAAGAAGCTTGAATTAAACAGTGAGTTCTCCCAGGTCAGGCAATGAACAGTGTTATTGTGGCCTTTGGCAAGTAAAAATCTGACGTCCAGCAAATTATGAAACTGGCCACATACTAAAAGGGACAAGAACGTAAAGAGAAAGATGCACGTTGTTCTACTACGGTGGGGTCCCCGTGGAATTCAGACCTGTATTAGACACACATTGTAGGGGGAAAGAAGAGCCTTGACAAAACCAAATTCCATTAAAGTATATGAAGGGAACTAAAGAATACACCCAAATGCAAGCACAAAATGAAAATGACAAAAGAACTGAGACGTCAAAATCCAATAATGGAGCAAAATGGTAGCTGCTTGGAGAGTTGAGAGGTGAGGTTAGCCATCAGTCCTCTGTAGCAAAAATTATCACAAAAACAAGGACACAGGGAATACTTTTTTTCTTCTAAATCTGAAAAGAAAGCTCTTGTAATTATACTGAAATCATTTATAAAATTTGTGATGACTGCAGAGACAAATAAATGTGTGCCACTCTGCAAGGTATTTTGCTAGCTTCAAATTGACCTATACGCACATGCTTCAGCTTCGCACACAAATCTGAAGCCCAAGTTCAGAGGCAACATAAATGATAAGCTCTACTCTACTCTCAAAACAAAAAGCTATCACCATTTTGTCTCCATCTCTCGGAAATAAATACTACAGAGAAAAAAAAAACATCTAAAAACCAATCAACACCGAGAAACATCGAAAACAGTAGTCCACTGTTGACAGCCCAGTGGCCAGCAGGGGCATGGAGTGGACTACCAGGTAGTTACCAGATTGTTCTTAGTTTTAGCTACATTGGGATCATCAAGCCCCAGCTTTCCCTCATAAATCTCCTTCGCACGATGATAGTACAGCTCCACCTGAAACCAACAAACAGTTTTAGCACAAAGGACACCCTCCTGTGGTTATTGAATTACGACATTTCACAGCATCCAGGTGTAGTCAGCTCTCCGCCATTCAATGGATCGTCACATCAAGCTCTCTGGGAAAATATCAAACTTGACACAACAGAGCATGCCATAAGTTCAAATAACAACATTTTGCCAGTCCATTCTGGAAACGTGATATATGAACAACATCTTACAGGAGAAACTCCTAGATATACTCTTAGAGATTTCTACTCTTTGCATCCACCTCAATCTCTAGTCTTCCTTTGCGATAGAGAGGATCAGCAACACACACTCCAACTAAACAAAGTGTAATCAATATCATACTTCAAAACATTATCACTTAGGCAAAAGTAAAGGTAAAAACCTCATAATCATCTCTCTGGACTCATGTGTCTGTGGCTACATGATAAGTTCTTATGCTGTTGCAAGAAAAAGACTCCAGATCAATTCAAGAGTGCGACAGTCTATTTTATCACACTTCTTTCGCTTTCTACTGGGACTCTGTATCTCACTTAGTGTAAGTTGGCCCAACAGGTAGGGTCAAAGCAACCCGCCTCCTAACTGATCTATATTGTGCTGATGAGAGGGTCAAGTATTTACAATCCATCATTTGATCTCTTCAGTTTGTGATCGAAACCAACAGTGCCTCTGAGAGATCAAAGACATTATGGACAGTCACCAAAAGCAACTGATGACAAGTAAACCACCAAAACTTTGTCCAACACTAAACTTATCAAGTGTCGATAGTCCTAGAAATGTAATATTCAATTCCTCATGATAAAATATGTTGCTGAGACAGAATGGGAACCCTTACCTCCTCGTACTTGCCCTGGTTTTGGCATAGAAGGGCCAGGTTGTTTAGCTGTTTGGCAACATCAGGATGATCTTTGCCCAGCACCTGAAATGTCCAAAAAATGCTTTTCTTTACTACATATTGAGAATAAAAAACCATCCATGATCAGAAGAGAGAACAGTACAGAAATAACTAAAGCTAAGAAAATACCTCCATGCTGTTATCCCTACCGTCTTCCCATGTTGAAGATCACAACTGAAACTTCATTTTGCGAGTTCAGTGTCTCTTCAGACTCGTGCAGAATAATGATGAGACTATTTAACTCTTTTTCTTAATACGAAAAAGCATATTTTTTATTCAATGTCCAATAATCCCTTAACAAAATAACTGGGGATAGCTTCTTTCGAAGAAAAAATCTAGCAAAGGACAAGCAACTTAAACTTGCAAGGAAAAAACAAGGGACCTCCAAGCAAATCAGCTGCAAAACAAAACTGTTATTCCTTCTGTTTGGCCCTGCATCACTAACAGAAATGGGAAGTCAATGTTCTAAATTCATTCAGAGCAGTCAAGAGGCAAGCAGAAGTAATAAATAAATATACTTCTTCATAGGTAGTAGTAACAGAACTTTTTCAACAGTAGCCTGTCTAACACAACATTTTATATACCATGTTACCAAATTTTTTTCTCCTTAAACCCTCATGAGCTGGTAAACCATCTGTTGCCTAAATGTTATACACAGAAAAAACACAGACAACATTGTGGGAATATTCCACTTTAATTTGGGACCACACAAGAACTCTAAGGGGTGTGTGCACACAGCACTCCTTGCCATCACCACTGACCTTTTCTCTTATCTCCAAGGCCCGTTTACACAAGGGTTCTGCCTCCTTGTACTTGCCACGTTTCCCATAGAGAACAGCCAGGTTGTTCAGGGTGGCAGCAACCTGGCCAAAACAATGATAGTCAAAAGTCATATTCAAGAAAACAATTCAATTTAAAACAACAAAATACCACAACAGTTCTAAATGACTATTCAAGTAAATCCAAGATGCATACAACATAAATTCTAAATAACTATTCAACTAAAAGAACAAAGAAAGACTTATGATAAACAGTAAAAAGATTTTCAATAAAGCCAAAATGTAATGGTTAATTTTAAATTGCTATTAGAGTACCCCAGAACGCTCTGATAAATTCTAAAATGTTACTCCAGTAATACCCAAATGTTAAGGTCTGAAGCAAGCAGCGTTATCTTAACAAAGACTGGCTTCTCATTTTATCTTATTCACGTTGCCCTCTACATCACGGAATCAACATCAAGTTAAAATAGCTAGAGTATATCAAGCACAAAAGCTGAAAAATGAGGCAATTCTTAAAAGATAACTGGACTGCAAATGGCTGCAAAAGTCAACCCAACCCAACACCAACACCCCCCCACCCCCCCCCCCCACCCCCCCCTGCTTCAAAAGTACTTTAACCCCTGTTATCCGGTTACTTTGGGTATTCTTCTATTATGAAAATCTAATCAGGACATGGACAAATTAAGGGAAGTGCACCGTATCAACCGTCTTAACTCATTCTCTACCCATTTTTATACCAGCTTTCACTGGTTTTCTCTGTGCATCCAATCATGAATGATAGGTGTGTATGTTCAGGAAAGATTTTCATAAGTAAAATGAAATAATAAGTAGGTAGTGTCACTTATATTTTGAAAGGTAATAAAACGTAGCATTGAAATGTGTAAAAAGATATTTGATTAGGCAAAGGACGTAATTGATACTTGTCAGAGAACACATACATCACATGGGAGCTAATAAAAAGACAGACTAAATTTCAGACTTTGAATATAAATAATAAAATTTGTATTTTTTTAAAAATTCCTATGCTCATAAAATGAATGTTACATTCAATTCCCTGCCTGTTCATGCAAAAAAAGGTATGAAATTGTGCAGTTCTAGCACATTTTATGATCAATTTTGTAACATCACTGTGACAATACCAAAAGTTGTAATGAACCAAAATTTGCCAGAGTTGCACTTGCTTGTCCAAGTCTAGATTTAGATTTAGACCTAGATCTAGGTTATTATCCTCTTGATTTTCACTTATCTTGGCTTTCTTTCCCTTTCATTTCCAAGCATATTCACTCACTTCCCTGTCTCCAACTATCCTCTTTCCTGTCACTGTAGATTTAATTAAATCTACGAATTACGTCTTTCACCCTTCTCACTCTCGATTCAAGCATCGCCCGAATCAGAATCTAAGGGCTAAGGATTCTAAGACAATTTCATCTCTGTCCTCAATTTTACAAAATAAAAATTCCCAAGTCTGTTTTACAAGTTATATGCCTATAGGGTCGTTTACTACCAGACCCAGAAAACATAGCTAGAACTAGAAATGGGTGTGGTCATCTTTCGTGTCTTGGTTTCACAAACACACCACATAAAATACTTCAACAATTTCAACTTTCCACCAACTTACGTAGTTATAGACATTAAATTTTGTTGCAGGAAGTTTCTACTTTTGAAATTTATTTATATCAAAACTTAAAATTATGGATCAAACGTTTACGAATTAAATAAAGTATAGAGTATAGCCTGTGCCGATGTATCGGTAATGGGTGAAAATGGTGCGGTCACGCTGCCGATATATCGGTAAGGGGCAGAGAATGAGTTAATATGACCCTCCCCCATTGACTATCAGTGTCAACAGCTGATAGCTATTCAGCATTATTCCTGTGTTCAAAAGGTGTTAAAATATAACTTAAATTTGTTTACTGTACACACAATGTAAAAAGCAAAAGGAAATTCAATTATTTTAAAATCTTTAAACAACAGACTTACACAGAGAAAGCTTTCTAACAAAGAATTTTAAAAGGAATGACACATGAAAAACCTGTTGACATTCAAGAACAGAAGCAAACATTTAGTCATACAAAAAAAGGCAAACTCAACATATATAACAATATATATATATATGTAGGAGTACATAAGTTATATAACACTAATAAGACAAAAGACAATAAAGATCTGGGGTAAAACAAAATAGGCTCAAAAAGAAAAATGGGTTGTTCTATTAGAGCGAAACCATCTGCATCAATCAGCTGTCGCAGCTCAGAACAAGAAGAAGCAGAGTTCTACACAGAAACAGACTTGACCCTTCACATATGGATAAGTCATTAGATTGAAACATACATAGCTTTTGAAAGAAAACATTTCATGTCCAAAGCACACATTAAACTAAAGCAAAACCATAATTATCTAAAAGCTTATGACACCCCCCCCCCCCCCCCCCCCACCATATTTTCAGCAATGTTGACCTTTCTGTCTGTCTGCCAATCCCATTTAAATAAAGGACTATGTCTTATTGCCTCACTCCCACTAAACCTAATTACATCTTCGTTATAAATGCATAGGGTAATTAACACTTTTTCTTGCACATAAAAAGGGCTCCCTAACTGTACTAGCTCATAAAAGGGGTCATTGGGAAGTTATCACCTCAAAGCTTTGTCAACCAGTTTAGCCTACTGCAGCATGCCTAGAACATGCAAAGCATGCTGAAAGCATGAGCAGTTTTAGTACATCTAGAGCCTCTTGCCTTGGCCACACAAAAATAGTTTAAAACACTATGAAGAATAATATAAAGAGTAACAGCTTTGGTTCTGTTACAAAACACCGACACAACAACATTCATTAAACAGTGAGAGAAAGTGAGTCACTCTCTCTTGATTGAAAAGCAACATTTTGGAGGGCGGACACATCATCTGTGCTTGCTTTGTGAGATTGGAGAACATCACAGTGCTACTTGTTACAAGTGTAGACGGACGGTGCATTGGTCACTGTACACATGTACCACGGTCAAGACTACCGAGGACAGATCTTTCCAGAGTGCATCAAGCAGAACAGTAAGACAGAATGCCACAAGCAACATGAAAAGTACAGCAGAACACATAGTGCTCATAAACACTTGTTCTGGACAATACAGAAACGAAGAACTTCATTTGGTTTGCAAAACTAGGCACCAATGATACAAATAAATACACAAATCCACTTACTTCAAAAGTACTTTAACCCCTGTTATCCGGTTACTTTGGGTATTCTTCTATTATGAAAATCTAATCAGGACATGGACAAATTAAGGGAAGTGCACCGTATCAACCGTCTTAACTCATTCTCTACCCATTTTTATACCAGCTTTCACTGGTTTTCTCTGTGCATCCAATCATGAATGATAGGTGTGTATGTTCAGGAAAGATTTTCATAAGTAAAATGAAATAATAAGTAGGTAGTGTCACTTATATTTTGAAAGGTAATAAAACGTAGCATTGAAATGTGTAAAAAGATATTTGATTAGGCAAAGGACGTAATTGATACTTGTCAGAGAACACATACATCACATGGGAGCTAATAAAAAGACAGACTAAATTTCAGACTTTGAATATAAATAATAAAATTTGTATTTTTTTAAAAATTCCTATGCTCATAAAATGAATGTTACATTCAATTCCCTGCCTGTTCATGCAAAAAAAGGTATGAAATTGTGCAGTTCTAGCACATTTTATGATCAATTTTGTAACATCACTGTGACAATACCAAAAGTTGTAATGAACCAAAATTTGCCAGAGTTGCACTTGCTTGTCCAAGTCTAGATTTAGATTTAGACCTAGATCTAGGTTATTATCCTCTTGATTTTCACTTATCTTGGCTTTCTTTCCCTTTCATTTCCAAGCATATTCACTCACTTCCCTGTCTCCAACTATCCTCTTTCCTGTCACTGTAGATTTAATTAAATCTACGAATTACGTCTTTCACCCTTCTCACTCTCGATTCAAGCATCGCCCGAATCAGAATCTAAGGGCTAAGGATTCTAAGACAATTTCATCTCTGTCCTCAATTTTACAAAATAAAAATTCCCAAGTCTGTTTTACAAGTTATATGCCTATAGGGTCGTTTACTACCAGACCCAGAAAACATAGCTAGAACTAGAAATGGGTGTGGTCATCTTTCGTGTCTTGGTTTCACAAACACACCACATAAAATACTTCAACAATTTCAACTTTCCACCAACTTACGTAGTTATAGACATTAAATTTTGTTGCAGGAAGTTTCTACTTTTGAAATTTATTTATATCAAAACTTAAAATTATGGATCAAACGTTTACGAATTAAATAAAGTATAGAGTATAGCCTGTGCCGATGTATCGGTAATGGGTGAAAATGGTGCGGTCACGCTGCCGATATATCGGTAAGGGGCAGAGAATGAGTTAATATGACCCTCCCCCATTGACTATCAGTGTCAACAGCTGATAGCTATTCAGCATTATTCCTGTGTTCAAAAGGTGTTAAAATATAACTTAAATTTGTTTACTGTACACACAATGTAAAAAGCAAAAGGAAATTCAATTATTTTAAAATCTTTAAACAACAGACTTACACAGAGAAAGCTTTCTAACAAAGAATTTTAAAAGGAATGACACATGAAAAACCTGTTGACATTCAAGAACAGAAGCAAACATTTAGTCATACAAAAAAAGGCAAACTCAACATATATAACAATATATATATATATGTAGGAGTACATAAGTTATATAACACTAATAAGACAAAAGACAATAAAGATCTGGGGTAAAACAAAATAGGCTCAAAAAGAAAAATGGGTTGTTCTATTAGAGCGAAACCATCTGCATCAATCAGCTGTCGCAGCTCAGAACAAGAAGAAGCAGAGTTCTACACAGAAACAGACTTGACCCTTCACATATGGATAAGTCATTAGATTGAAACATACATAGCTTTTGAAAGAAAACATTTCATGTCCAAAGCACACATTAAACTAAAGCAAAACCATAATTATCTAAAAGCTTATGACACCCCCCCCCCCCCCCCCCCCACCATATTTTCAGCAATGTTGACCTTTCTGTCTGTCTGCCAATCCCATTTAAATAAAGGACTATGTCTTATTGCCTCACTCCCACTAAACCTAATTACATCTTCGTTATAAATGCATAGGGTAATTAACACTTTTTCTTGCACATAAAAAGGGCTCCCTAACTGTACTAGCTCATAAAAGGGGTCATTGGGAAGTTATCACCTCAAAGCTTTGTCAACCAGTTTAGCCTACTGCAGCATGCCTAGAACATGCAAAGCATGCTGAAAGCATGAGCAGTTTTAGTACATCTAGAGCCTCTTGCCTTGGCCACACAAAAATAGTTTAAAACACTATGAAGAATAATATAAAGAGTAACAGCTTTGGTTCTGTTACAAAACACCGACACAACAACATTCATTAAACAGTGAGAGAAAGTGAGTCACTCTCTCTTGATTGAAAAGCAACATTTTGGAGGGCGGACACATCATCTGTGCTTGCTTTGTGAGATTGGAGAACATCACAGTGCTACTTGTTACAAGTGTAGACGGACGGTGCATTGGTCACTGTACACATGTACCACGGTCAAGACTACCGAGGACAGATCTTTCCAGAGTGCATCAAGCAGAACAGTAAGACAGAATGCCACAAGCAACATGAAAAGTACAGCAGAACACATAGTGCTCATAAACACTTGTTCTGGACAATACAGAAACGAAGAACTTCATTTGGTTTGCAAAACTAGGCACCAATGATACAAATAAATACACAAATCCACTTAATGAACAGACAATGTTACAACGATAATAAACCGTGAACACATACAAAATAAATTCCATACTTGCACTGCACCCCCCCCCCCCCCCCCTCACCCCCCCATTTGTCCCCATAAATTGTCCCTATTCTTTGAACTCCTAAGCTTCTCAAGTACAATAGATAGGCATGCAGTTTACTGTTCAAGACAACGAAACTACCCATGAGTAATTCCAATCCTGCATTAAGTTGTCAATCATGCAGAAGAAGAAGTTAACAAAACGCAGCCCTGAACCCTGAGACTTACAACAAAATGTTATTCAATAAATGAAATGTTATTTAGAAAAAAAGTCTTGCCCCCCCCCCCCCAAATGATTTCCGTTAGCAAGGCATTCTTTGAGACATTTGTGTGTGTGCCTGGTGAAAGGTGCCAAATGACGCATTATGAAGAATCCCATTTTTTTTCCATTTTCATGTAGAGGATTAATTTCTGAACAATATGCTTTTTGAATTTTTAAGATATCTTATTTTTTTTTCATTTTCATGAAGAGGATTAATTTCTGAACAATATGCTTTTTGAATTTTTAAGATATCTTCAGTAGTTTTTTGACATATGGGTGATTTTGTAAGGCAGGATACGGAAACAAAGTTTTGAGAAAAACGGCTTTAAAGTTTCTCCATTGTTTCTGCTTCAAATAGATAGATCTACGATTCGAGACGACCTGACAATACATTCGCTACTCACAAACCAACTTTAAAAAGCAGATATAATAAAAGAACAGCTTCAAAATGTTTACATTACGTCTTCAAAACAAAATCCCCACCACCATGAGCAAGAATTTTCAAGAAATTAGATCTAGGTTTGCGCAGCGAAGAAATATGCGATACAACTTGCTCTCCAAAAAACAAAAAGGGTATGGATACGCAAAGCTTCGCTTTGTTTACGCCTTCACACTACTCACCACTAGAGAACGGAGAAAATGACCTAAATTTTGGTATGCAATGTGATCGGGTTGACTTTATAAAAGGACAAGAGAACCATCAGCAATGTTTACTCGGAAAACCAATTTTCTTACACAGTTTTGGGGATTGTGCAATATACCTCGTGTTATTATATAACATCTTTAAACGTGTATTTTAAAGTAAAAGAAACTCAAGTCCTTGTAAATATCGATAAAGGACTGGCTAAAGAATCCATTTAGTGGAACTTACTTTTTGTCAAAAATTCTATTTTTGACCTTTGAAGCCGGATATCTCGGTTCGAGCAAATGCGTCTTTTGGTACCTTTCACCAGGCACGCTCACATATAATTAGATAAACATACCCATAAATACATACCACTGAATAACAATAGCACCAAGAATCGGTGAGAGTTCAAATCATCAAAATACTAAAAACAGTCAAAACAAAGAAAGCCAAACTAAAATTTAAAACAGTGACAAAATCTGACATTGCTGAGCCTCTGGTGTGAAAGTAGCCTTTATTGCACTTTATTGAGGAAACATTTAGACTACTGACAAATTCATAGAAACTTATTGTGCCACATTATAGAATGAAACCTGCAACCAACTAAGAACAGATCGGATCCTTAAGATACAAAAATGACCTGCAAGCTGTTTAAGTTTATTGTCAAGATGAGAAACTTTACATAACATGAAGGACTTAATGTACACATCTCCTTTGTTTTTCGTTTTTTTCTTTCCTCAGACAAAAGTATGTTGAACAACTGTGCTTGATTTTAAAAAATGTCTCTATCAGTTTTGCAAAGAAGAAGAATAAAAAAAGCACTTAAATATCTGTTTCAATGAGTTCTGAAAGCCACACGGTAAAGAAAATAGAATATATGGACATTTATGTTTTCTAAATTTACGTAAGTATTTTGATCAATTCTCAAGACTACACTGCATGGTGGATATCAAGCCATGCAGGTTGTTTCCAATTTTTTAACTCATTTTGATTCCTAATCGTACAAGACAGCAGTGATAAGAGGGTAGCTGCTAGGGCCACAACACAGAGCTTCAACACAGAGAACCAACAGACGAGGCAATATTCCGACACAACATGCAACACCAGACTTGTAACTGGCATGCAGGAGAAGGAGGAGGGGAGCTAACTGCCAGCCAGGCCGGACCAGGCAGGCACAACTCACGGCAGGGTGGTCGAGGCCCAGCGTCTTTTCACGGATGCTGAGAGCATCGTTCAGTAGATTAGCAGCATCCTTGTACTTCCCTTGGTCCCTTCACGAGAGATGGACAGGAAGTTGCCAGGAGGGCAGATAAACACAAGGTCAACAATCAAATAGGTATCACATATACAGTAGAGGACAACCATAATGCATAGAACTAGTCATCTATGCTCTGCTCCTCTCGGCCATGCTGGAAATTCAAAAGTTTAGTTAATAAATAACTGCTTTAGGAAACATCTGCTAGAGTGGGATGCATAAGACATTTTGTGTTCAAAATGAGAATTTTACATCATACTTTGTTACTCTGACAGTTCAAACCTCTGCAAATCCCACTGTTCACAGGTATACCCTATAAGCATCACTCAGGATCACGCAGTGTTTACAAAAAAAACCAACAAAAAACTATGGGCGTGTAGAAACTCACAGCAGGATGGCTCATGCCAAGGGTTTTCTCTCGGATGATTAGCGCATCATGTAGCAAGTTGCCTGCCTCTTTGAATTTGCCTTGATCTCTGGAACAGCATGCAAGTCCAGTGAAGACAAGCGGGGTGGGGGCCTTCAGCTAAAACTACTCAAGTCTGAATAGATTCCTGCTTTATACGCCTAAGACTAAACATAAAATGAGTTCTAGTTCCATGAAACAGATCAGAAAACACAGCTCCAAAGAAAGAGCTCTCTTGCTCTTATTCTATAGCTTAAAACAAATGAGAATACAGTCTTAGGACAGTCTATAAAGAATGAGCTTTAGTTCTAAAGATAAAACACACACATGCTGTCAAGAAAGGAAAAACATTATTTCAATGATGCATCACAGACACAGATGTTGTGGGTCACCAACTCACCATGGCTACTGCCATTAACTTACAATGTTAGCCGTTTGTGAGGAGAATGTAAAAGAACCACATTCAGAGAAAGAAACTGCAGACAAATGGACAGACAGACAGACAGACAGACAGACAGACAGACAGACAGACAGACAGACAGACAGACAGACAGACAGACAGACAGGCAGATACAACAACAGCAGCACTGTGTAGAAGAAAGATCTCCAAGAGGCACCCTCTAACCACTCGCAAAGTGTAAAGAGGAAACATAACACCACCTCATACAATAGCTTCAGTTACAGCAGAGATTGGTCCAGTTAACAATTATCCCACGGAGAGTAACTGACATAACTGAGCAATGCTTTGTGAAAAGCCAGATGCAGAGATAACAACAAAAGCACAAGGGAGACCGACCAGTCAAGATGACGGACGCGGTTGTGTCCAAGCCTGAGATCAGGTCCAGGTAGAAGTATAATGCCTGACCACACACTATGTAGGTCATTTTGAAAACTGAGCACTGGATCTTCTGTCAGGACTCAGAGCTATAAGAAAATATTCCAAGAAAAACTAGAGAAAAGACCCCTACATAAATTGGACTCATATTTCCATGTTGCAGATCAAGTTACCTCCCTGTTGTATTGAAGTGAGGCAGAACCCATGTGTATAGCTTAAAGTCCCCGACTACATGTGAATAATTCAGGTTTATAACCAATATACATCAACCATTAACACACCCCTGTTTAAATGCAAAGAGTGGGGTTTGAAACAAATCATATCTGTACTTGTAATGTCTGGAATACTAGAACAGGCCTAAAGTTTAGTAACTTGAAACAAGCATGCAGTGACCTCCTATCTGACCGACGGGCCACTCTTCTCCACAAAATAAGGAATATTCTATCAGTCATATCATATTCACATAAGAACTGACTTTGTATTTATTTTCTGTCATATTTGCACCATCATGATATAAGTGTTGCTTAAATGTTTGTTGACTAAACAGGACCCACAAGGCTTTGGCTACGCAGAAAATGTAAAACCACTTTTTGTCGGTTATTGAACACCCATTATCACATAAATATTGAATTGAATCCAACAGGTTCAGTTCACAGCACACCACAAAATGATGACTCATTCCTGATCCCTGTGCCAATCAATCACAATGACTGCAAGTCCTGTCAGTGATAATTAAACATACAACCAAACCTAAACCAACCACTTCTGAAAGAGAACGTATTCGCTGAGAGAAACAAAACAACTGTGAACAAAACCAATGAAGATACAGTCATCTGATGACCAAGTACCCACCCCAAGTAACAGAAATAGATTGCAAATTCTTCTGTAGCTACCAGCAAATACGCTCAGTGGATACATACAAAAAGAGAAGCACTCCAACAGTCATTTCCATTTCATACGATAAATAACATCTCCACATAACAAATACAATCATTATGCCAAGATATTTTTCAGACTCTAGAGATTATGTTATTTACACTGATATGAAAACTGAAAATGTAACTTTCCCTTCTTTTTTACTAATTGAAAAAAAAAAAAACGATACTTGTTGTTCAAAGAGAATCAGTTAACTTAAAAGAAGTAAAATGACTTACCTGTACACCAGAGCTAAGATGTTGAGCATGGTGGCCACATCGGGGTGGTCATGCCCTGAGGTCTTCTCCAGGTCCTCCAGCGCCTGTTTACACAATGGCACAGCCACTTCATAGCGACCTTGAGAGGCGTATTGTATCACCAGGTTGTGAAGGGTGCGCAACCGAGCGGGGATTTCATACCCGCCACTGGCAGCATGCGCCATTGCACTGGGTTGTGATGGAGAGAGCACTGTGAACAGAAATGGTCACCACTCAACTTCTATGGAACACCACAATACAATGGAACAAGATGATTTTAAAACAAAAACATGTAAAATGAGATACAAAGGCTCATTTTCACAAGGAAAGAAAAAAAAAACCAACTTAAAAACTATAAGAATGAGTAGGTGTCACACCTGTATGATAAAATTGTAAACATTGTAAAATACATTGAGACTAAACGATAAGAAAGAAAGAAAAAAAACGTTAAATACATTATCCAGAAACAGCACATCAACTGTGTTCTGTTCCTTCCAGTTCACTACATACATAGTTCTATTGCTAAATCAGGAAAAGTTCCATAATCATCTTACAAAATATTACAAAATAAATTAACAACAACAAAACAAAACAAAAACAAACAAAAAAGATTTTTTAAAATAAATGAAACAGTAAATCCATTTGTACTTGAAACCTGTGGGGGGATTTTTGTAGTACTGGAGATACAAAACAGGTCAGGCATAAAGCATGTCAGGATCAAGTCATATATAGGGACGGGGCACATATGTATGCAGAGAAGAACAGCAGCCATAAAAGGAAATAGGAAAAGACATAAATCAGGGGACCGTGAAAATAACCACAAAGGACGGCAAGACAGGGGGCAAAAAAAAAACTGTGTCAAAATATAAGAAGGTGAAGCAAACATTGGAAAAAAGACAATTTCAGGGAATAATTTTAAAGCATTAACGTACAGGAAGGGACACACAAGTGTTTTTGCCTGTATAACATCTTCTTCACCACTGTCACAAACATTTATACTGTATACAGCATAACATGGACCTTAATACAAGTGCAAAAACCAATAACTAGACAGGACAAGAAGGTCCTTTCATTTCAAGGATGTCATCACTTATTTTCAGTAGATGCCCTAGATTCTTTTAACTTTTCTCATTCAGTTCTACAAGGAGTCAACACATGGCCAAGTAAGCTTTTTATAAAAGGATTTTTCTTTTTAATCACTAAAAAAAAGTGAAAGACCAAAAAGGCTGCTGGTCTTTTCCCTTTTCTCTCAAAGAGACGCTCTGGCTCAGCCACAACACAATCTCAGTCTACACTGCATTACGCCCTAAAAAAAATCATACCTGCTTGGTTCTTTTTAAATCATAAAAGCAAATATTTGACGAACAATGTTCGAATAATCATGAATGGAAAAGAGATTCACTCTAGAATCTAGTTGCAGTCACGTCTGATTGCGGGTTATCTTAGAGTGAGCATGAAGAAGGAAAATCCAAAAAGATACCGTCTGTACCAAGTGGGGTGTGACACGAAACACTGGTCACGCAGACAGTTAGCAAAGATGGATGGTACTGCACATGGACAAAGCAGTAAATGTAAGGGGCAAAATGGTAAGACTAACAGTGTTGAATCAGTCCCAAAAAACCCTGTGAAAGGCAATCTCTGAACCCTTAATATCTTATATAAATGACAAGTCAGCTACATTTCTAAATCATTTCTAAAGAAAGTACAGAAGAGCATAGCAAGAAAGAATGGGTGATGAGCTGGGATGGAAAGGGGAACTCAATAAATGTGGAATTTGTTATGAACAAAGAATGAGATTATTATGCATGGATCATATTTGTGTTCAAAAGTTAAAACATACAACAGCTTTCGGTCAAAAACAAAACAGGGATACCCACAGGGGAAAGCTATTAATTTGTAATTTGAAGGAAGTTGAAAAGAGAAAAATCAATGAATGACATTAATTTTTTTTAATCAAAGAGGGAGAATAGGAACCAAAATTTACAGAACACCGAAAGGGGGGAAGAGAAGAGCAGAAAACCGCCCCAGAAAAAGCCAAAGACTTTGGAGTCTAATTTCAAGAATTCAGCCTTTTAAACTTCAGGCATATTATTATCAATCAAAACCACAGAAAATATGGAACTAACTTTCTAATGCTTCAACCAATGATGAAAAAAAAATCTTAACCATTGAAATCAAACTCTCTCACTTAACTGTTTCTTATCAATACAACTACTCCAGCTCCATGATGTTTACTGTACTTGTTTAAGACCTCATTAACTTTTGATTAACGACACCTCTGAAACACAGTGGAGTCTGCTTAAACCGAACACTGTTACTCCGAAAACTGGTAAACTGCAAGAAAATAAAATTCCCGATTTTTTTCTCTTCTTTGTCTTTGTAGAAATCCTATCAATTAGCCCCAATGCTCTCATTTGTAAATCAAAAAGAATTACGTGGGTTTTGTCGACTGATCTTCAACTCGAGTAATGCAAATCAACAAGTCATTAGCGTTTCAAGAGAGCCACACAGGGAAAAAAACCACGAGAACGCATGTGTCAACCGCCTGCCAGAGATAAAGACATCACCAGTGTACTGTTTACCCATGTTTGTAGAACACATCAAAAAGCCCACCCACTGTGTATATATCTAGTGAAGCAAGGATAGCCAGCCAATACACATCTGTTACATGACCTCGGTTGGTCGTGGCCTATTGTCTCTACAAAGCTTGATCACAAAGACCCCGACAGACAAGCACATGATCACATGTGATGTGTTTCATGACATCACTGACATTAGGTTTTTTCACTTGTCTAGACTAACAACAGAGAGAGCAGTTTTTCGTTCGTTCTGTGTAACTATTTCACAGAGCGAGCAAACTGACAATGCTGAAGAGAAAGCAAAATACATCAAGCCTGCAGTTCAAATAACAGTTACTAAAAGAAGTAGATGAAAAAAGAACGTTCAAATAGTTATATTTACTCAAGCATAGCATTCCCAACTCTACGCTGTTGACAATCATTGCAATTTGAGCAACCTTCTCTAAATAAAAAATACTCCCCCCCTCCTCCCAAATCTGGCGGTCCTGTAAATTTCGGTTTCAGCAAAATCCACTGTTCTGCAACAACAATAAATATAATGTGTATCAAGATCTTATTTCCTGTCTATGCTCAAGTCTATAAAGTAGAAAAGAAAAGGTACTACTAATTACCAGTAAAACTGTAACCCCAAATTATTACACTGCATTCACGAAAAGAAAAAAAAATGTCAATCCTAGATATTATTTCTATATATGATATCGAGACCTCAAAAACAATAGTTGAATGAAAGGGTGGAATAAGAGGGAAACTGATAAAAAATTGTAAGGATAATCAAATGGGAATGATAAAATGTTAACACCTTTAACCAATAACAAAAACAATGACATGAAAACTCTTTGAAAACCCACAAATTCTAAGATTCAATGCTGTAGACAAATTCTCGTTACATTGCACAATTACACTGATTAAAAAAAGCACCATAACCCCAAAACAGTGGGAGGGAACGGAGTGGCAGGGGGCTGGGGAGGACTGTAAGATACGGGTGGGGGGTAGAGGTAAAACAAAATCTTGAAGCCTTTTCATACTCATGCCGGGATCATAGTAGCCATGGTCATTAGTCAGAGTGATAGACGGGACCCCAAGGGAATCTGTACGTGGGTCCTCTCCTGGCATATCCAACACCAGCTGTGTTGCTCTGGGCACTGCATGAGGTAGTGGCTCCGTTAACTTTCACCGCTCAAACAATATCACAATATTCCACCAAATACTTCTCCGCCTCTCAACAAATCAACGCTGATATCCTCAAGTTTAAAATAACTTAAAACCACAATTTGAGTTGGGGTGTCCGCATGCTGCTTGCCATAAGCAGGTTCCAGGAGACAAGAAAATTAACTTTTCATATGTGGATGCATTAGAGTAGCACCGAGAAATTAAAAAACTACATAACTTCTTGCAAAGGTATTATGAAATAATATTAAACCCATTTGAAAAGGTAGCTTTGAAATTACCCTCATAACTCCCTCTAGGAGAAAAAAAAAAATCAGTAGAAGCTTACAGCTATGCCTTTTTGTCCCACCCCTCTAAACATGTCAAAAGAAAAAAAAGGGAATCTACAACAACAAAAAAAGTCTTTAAAAAGGCCAAATGATAAAATGAAAAATAACCAATAAAACCAAAATGATCTCAACTACAGGAAAACAGTCAAATGAACTGGGAAGTGTTTAAGAAGAAAGATTCTACCTTCTGGTGATGTTGCATCATCATCAGCATCAGGGAATCCGAGATCATCAAGTTGGGAGGGAGTCTCAGCTTCTTTTTCTTCTTGTGGCTGAAGGATCAATGAAACAACCACAAACACTTAGTCTAGTAATGCATGTGGCCAAACCTAATTTTTAACCACTCTTGGAACTATAAACAAGACTCAATTTACCATGCCCACTTTACATGAAGTCTATCTTTAATTACAAGAGAAATAAAACCCCAAAGAATACCAGTGGTGTCCTGCATGGCAAGACAATGGTACCCTCAATCCACACTCCTGATAGAATTAAAAGCTACTGAAACCAATGGCATGTCTAAAACCTTTTTGGGCCCTTGGACTATTTAAAGCAAACCTCTATCAGAAAGGCAGTGACTGAAGAGTGGACAATTAGACAGTTTGGGAGAAAAACATCAAAAAGAATAATTTAAACCCAGAGAAAATCAGAGTCCCCAAAAAAGGAGCAAACTCTTTCTTTAAAAAAATATGATGATGATGAATCACCCTTTGAGCTGTTTAAAATAAGTACTAGATGCAACCCCGAACATTCTATATATCTGATAAATTAGAGTTGACAATACTTACAGCAGCAGTGTTGTTGTCTGAGTCATCAAACTTCTTCATTTCGTTCATAAACTCCAAGTGCTTCTTTTCTTCCTCAAGCGTTGCCAACTTTTGTTCACTGACCTGTGAAAGGACAAAATTGCATTGTCATGTGGTAAATCATGTTGGTTTTTTTACTTCTGAGTAATCCCATTAAATTCCTGGGGGAGTCCACAGTATGTTCTTTACCCAAAAACTCTAAATTGAAAGAAGCATTCTGGTATGAAAGGTGGGCACCATACCTCTAATCTATCAAACAGGCCAAATAATTTGCAACAAACGCTTAAGATTCTAGTAACAAAAGTCATGCACAGAAATCAAGTTAATTTGGCTTGAGCCAAAGCGGAATTCAAAAATATCGCTACGACGACATAATACTCTTCAAAAATATTTTTTTCTGTCATCATGGTACTGGACCGAGGGGAGCTATTGCTAGATCTAGACAAAAGTACTCTGTAAATATGCATCATGATTGTAAATGTTTTACTATCCTATCAAAACGATTGGGATCAGTTAGGGGATGTAATGCGTTAACCTTGCCTGCCAGGGCCAACAAAATGACAAGACTAATCCAACTTATAAAACAATTCCGGTGAAAAGTTTTAAGAACTTTGATATTCTGAAAAATAGTGTTCACCATACCTGCAGTTTCTGCTGTGTGGTCGCGAGCTCATCTCTCAACCATCCATTTTCTTGACACAAACGACGAACCTGTGCCCGTAATTTTTGTTTCTCAGCTTCTATCTTTTGTAGATAATTTGATAGATCCATCATTACCTGTGGGATGAATGGAAAGATACTTTTCTTTGAAGCTCATCTAGAAATGCAGAGTAAAAAAGATAATATTACTTGTAACTGCAAAAATTATATACTCTTATGGTTAGAGCATATGTCGCCATCAACAGCACAGAATACCCCCTCTACAATACTAACAAAATGTAAGACAACCAAATTCAATACAATACCATTGGTAGTCACCTGCAAAACGGAAATATTGTTGAACCATCATTGATCTACTGTGCCTGGGTTGAGCCCCAATGGCCACCAAGCTAAGAGCAGCTGACACAAGATGTTGCTTGACAATTCTTGGTCATTCCCCTCATGACTTTCTGAGCCACTTGGAATGGTGATAAAAACATAACTTAAGAACTTAAATCTTTAAGTCAATAATTATTTTTTTCATATTTCACTTTGACAAAGTTATAATCTTTGAATGATTACGTAGTCTGACACCTTGGAAAAACATGTAGTGATATTTTCCATTTTCACATATATACCACATAGCCCACACTTTAGCTTAATGTAATACTGAGCAAACCTGTCAGAGACATGTACTTCCATAAGGCCTCATTTAGAAATTTTTAGCAGTACAAAGTGTGGCAACATATTTGAAAACACCTCACCTGCCCCTCTCCCAGGCCCAGCTCTATGGTTTCCAGGGAGCGCTGAAGAATGTTGGTCTTCTCCTCCACCAAGTTGGTGTCACCATTTTCTCTCTTGATGGTCTTTATAGAGGACAATAGGGTGTTGAGGATCTGTTGATAGTCATTCTTCAGGGTGTCCAGCCCTTGGATGACAGTCCTGGTGTTGCTGACTATCTCATCCTGATTGAGAGCTGTCATCTTGCCTATCTCCTCAATCTTTTTTCTGAGGAACAAAAAAATACAGAAAACATGTTCTTAAAATGTCCTGAAGATCTGAATGGTTGTTCCTTAATCATAATTTTTTTATTTTTTATTAAGCCAAATGGTCAAAAATACAATCCAAAATACAACTGAGCTAAATCTGATAGCACTATAAGCCATAACAAGCGCAGATAGCATGTATGCGCACATATCCCTTCTGAAACAGTAGGGAGTATATGATGAAAAGATAAGAAAGGGCCATGGTCAGAGAAGCAAACTGGCTAGGGTGGAGAAAATCCTGTACTTTTCAGTCCTCATGTCAAAGAGCATCCAGGAACTCAAAATGCAGGGATCATATTGCCAAATGCAGGTTGTATCAGGACTCTTTTTATTTATAGTCCAATATGACATCCCCCCCC